TTTATGAAACCGATAAAGCAAAGCATACTGAAATAATCAAATGTCCAATGATGAAGTGAGATATAAGCAGCTAAAAATTATAAAGCTGCCTACAACAATCTAGCAATATCCTAACAACCACCCAGAACACCCTAGCATCCAGCCAAAACAGTATAGGAACTGCATAGCAACCAGACAAAAAACAAACAAACAAACAAAAAACCCTAGAAACAACCTAGCAACTAGCCAAAACACTCTAGCAACTGCCTAGAAACCAGCCAGAACATCCTACAAGCCACCTAGAACAACCTAGCAACCACCCAGGACACACCAGAAACAATTTTGAACCCACTAGCAACCAGACAAAACACTCTAGTAACTGCTCAACAACCAGCCAAAACACTCTAGCAACTGTAGTTAAACACTCCAAAAACAGCCTAGAAACCAGCACAAAAACCATAGAAACCATCTAGAGCAGCCTAATAACAGCCAAAAAACTCTAGCAACTGCCTAGCAACCAGCCAGAGAACTCCAGAAACCACCTAGACAACCTAGCAACCAGTCAAAACATTCTAGTGGCTCCCTAGAAACCAGCCAGAACACCCTAGAAACTACCTAGAACAACCTAGCATCCACCCAGAACACCCCAGAAACCATCAACCACCTAGCAACCAGACAAAATACTCTAGTGACTGCCTAACAACCAGCCAAAACACACCAGCAACTATTTTAGTCAAACACTCTGGAGATGGCCTAGAAACCAGACAAAAATAAGAATAGAAATAAAAATAAAACAGAAACAAGCCAGATTGCTGGGCAGTTGGTAACATGTTTTGGCTGGTTGATAGGTTGTTCTATAGGTGATTTCTTGGGTGTTTTGACTTGATGCTAGGTTTTTAGAGTGTTTTGGATTGGTCACTAGGCAGTTGCTAAAGTAATTTGGCTGGTTTCTAGGTTGTTCTAGGTAGTTTCTTGTTTGTTTTGGCTGGTTGCAAAGCAGTCGCTAGAGTGTTTTAGCCTGTTGCTAAGGAGTTCCTAAAGAGCTTTGGCTGGTTGCTATGTTCTAAGTAATTTCTTGGCTGTTTTGACTGGTTGCTAGGCAGTTGCAAGAGTGTTTATGGCTGGTTTATTTAAATTACATTGATCAATCAGATATATAAGTTTAGAACGGCATTGAGAACATGCAGTGATTGGCATTGTGGCTGTCTATGGGTATCATCATGGAAACTCATACAGTATTATGTACAACATTAAAGCATCCTCAATGTTTGTAATGCATACTTTGGCTTTTAGCCACATATATTGCATTTAGGTCTGGGAAAACACGCATGTTTAAAAGCCAAATAAAACACATGCAATGCATTTTCAGGACTGTCTTTAGATGGAACATAGACAAGAAGAAATGGCCCGTGCAAATTGTGTTTTTGTGTGCTGTTCACAATATGCTAAACTAGTCAAGAGATGAGATAGTGAAGAACAATTAATAAACATAAGAGTTGTTTTCTTCCATTTAAAATCCCCGCTGATTGGAAAGCAAACAGTAGATTCATTGTAAGGAGCCAGAAAGACAGGACGGTCGTACAATCCTCTCCTTGGCAGAACTTCTAAACACCTCCCTGTTGAAAAAAACAGCATATGCTGGTTAGGTATGTTTTGATGCTGGGATGCTGGTTTAAGTCAAGTCAAAGCTGGTCCTTTGCTGGTTTATGCTGCATTAAGCTTAAACCAGCATCCCAGCGTCAAAACATACCTAACCAGCATATGCTGGTTTTTTCAACAGGGTGTGCGGCTAATATGTGGCATTCATATCCATAATTTTATTGCGATTTAGTCTGATTTGTTGTATTCTGCCTGAAAACAATCGCTGTTACGTCAGGCCTGTTAACCCTTTCGCTGGCCTAAATTAAAGTTTAGAAAACACATTTATGACAATCTTTTTTTTTTTTTTTTTTTT